GTATGCACAGACCACCAATCACTTTTAAATATGACTACATGTAATGTAAATTCAGTATTCAGTATTACACGATACCTTGGTATAAACACTAAAACTCCATTAGTTCTGAGTCCAAATATAACAGCATCCACCACACAACTCTCATCCGTGTTTGGATCTCTGTCTTTGAAATACAATGCTTGGAATAATTCCTGAGATGCCCTTTGTGCATGCTGGGCAGCCTAGAGGAAAACACACTGATGGTTATATGTCAGAAACAGTTTTAATAATAAATCACAGAAATGCTAAAAACATGATTGATTAGAGATTTGTTTTTTTATTTTTCATTGAAAATGAATTTTGTGAACTCAAGTTGAGGGATAAATAAACATTCTTACTCTATTTTTATGATTGATATGGTCGCACAAATCTTGTAGTTCTTTGTTTCCTAGCAACAGATTCTCTTCATCTTCTTTGATAGCAGCCATCAGAAGTCGATGAACCTGCGCAGTTGATAATAATTTATTCAGACTTTACTCTCCTGACAAAAATGAGATCTTAGGCAATGACAGTATGGCTTAAAATTTCCCCAAATCCACACTCAATACAAATATATCTTAATACAAACCAGAATAAATAATGAAAATTTGATTCACTTGAGCAATAAAGTAATATTTTTAGAAAGAAATTATCAAAATTCTACTTGTCTACATTAGGCGCACGAAAAGAGATTTGTTTCTGTGCATGAGAGAGCATTCTTTTTATTGCCATGAAAATTTTTTTCTTTCATTTCTACTATATTCTTAAAAAATGTGTGACACTCACATTTCAAGTTGATAAGCATGCTGATCAAAAACAAATCTATTTTTTGGGGGCCTAATATTGTCTAAGATACTAACAATAATATCGGCATATCTTCTGATTGGTGATGTGAAATGGGTGTATCTATCTAAAGCCAAACCTGTGAAAAAAATAGATTATTGAACATCTGACAGTGAGAATAATAAAATTCATTCATTCGTAAAAACCTGTATGAATGTGTTGGAAAGTGTTACAAACTCATTTGATCATTATCCTGTGTATCATCTTAACATCACATTCATTCATTTCTTTGCATGCATCGGACAGAACGACAATGTCACATGACTGAAATAGAAATCATATTCAAAGCTTTTTTTTCTTTTTTACCTCAGACTGAATTAGAATCAATGCAAATAATTGGGCAGGTACACAAACTTTTTGCGGACATTTATATCTCACTAAATTAAAAATACTTGCAAGAAAAGATGTACAATAATCACTTTAAGTAGGACCAGACAAGCCACTAATAATTGGTCTCCCAGCAAAGGTTATACCAAAGATAGCACAAAAGTATGAACCCAGGCAGTACAGGATTGCATTGACCTCAGTTACATACATGTAATGCCATAATGGTATAACTGATAATGACCTACCATAATGATATAACTGATAATGACCTACCATAATGGTATAACTGATAATGACCTTCCATAACTGATAATGACCTACCATAATGCTACAACTGATAATGACCTACCGTAATAGTATAACTGATAACAACCTTCCATAACTGATAATGACATACCATAATGGTTTAACTGATAATGGCCTACCATAATGATATAACTGATAATGACCTTCCATAACTGATAATGGTCTACCATAACTGTATAACTGATAATGACCTACCATAATGGTATAACTGATAACAACCTTCCATAATGGTATAACTGATAATGACCTTCCATAACTGATAATGACCTACCATAGTGGTATAACTGATAATGACCTACCATAATGGTAAAACTGATCTCTAGAAAGACTACCAGTTGAAAAATACAAAGCGTTAGACATTGCGTAAGTTGCAAGTGTTCTCAGTAATTTGTTGAATATAGGATTCTTTTCATCCACACAGCGATCCAGGGAGTCAGCCAGGTTTTTATTTGTACTCGTATCCACCGAGAAACCCTTAGACTTGGCACAGTATAGAAGATTCTCAAAGTGTTCTTGTCGAGGCAAGGGATGATGTCGTAACTGTAGAAGAATAGAGAAATTTGTGAATACTAGTTTGTATTGTGTGAACCTCATATAGTTGAAAGCTGATTTAATTACCTCATTTGCATAACATAATGTTATGTGCTGTATCTTGTGGATAATGACCTAATTAGTGAAAATACAACACTTGTGCAAAACAATATTTTCAGTTACTGTGGTTTAACAAGAGTCTTGAATCTTTAGTAAAATACTACAACCATTGCCCAGTATGCTTTCAGGTTCAAATTTTGTGTAAAATAAAACAAATATGTTTTACATGTATCATGTTGGGCCTATATTGAACACAAAGCCACCAAAAATGAAATATATAGTTTTCCAATATTTACTGAAGACCAGCTTGTAACAGAATAACTTTGAATACCAAAGAAAACTTTCAAACATTTCCCATATTAAAATTAAAAAAAATGTTCATCCAGCCAATGATACCGGGGTAAATTAAGACCATTTGGTCCAAAATCAAACAAGAAATGCTAAAAAACAATTAAGCATAACATATAGCATGAAAAGCATTTAAAAAGTTTGTCGTTCATTATAAAATCGACTGAATACTTACAAGTGCAAAGCTTGGAAATGCTTCTGTGATTTTCTTTGCAACCCAGTGATTTGCAAATATCATACACTCGGCTATAGTCTCGTGTATTTCTAGTGCCTACAAAGAGTAAAGAATACATCAATTTCAGCTGTTGCATAAAACCTGTAAATTCACAAGAATTACATTGATTATTGCACTCAACTGGATGCATTATGACTTACCAATATGTAAGCAAATCAAAGACAGGATACAATAGAAGGGCTTGAGACTTGTAATCAAATCATTTTCTTGTATATTTGTTATTCCTTATTCCATATATAATGAATGGAATGACTAAACTGATAATGACCTGCCTACAATAGAGGCAAATCACATATTGACCTGTTTCAGATGGCTAGTTTTGAACCAAGTGGCTACATTTCACTCTTACCTGGTGTGCAAATCACATTGATGGTGATGACTAAACTGATAACGACCTGCCTACAATAGCGGCAAATCACATATTGACCTGTTTCAGATGCCTAGCTTAGAATCAAGTGGCTACATTTCACTCTTGCCTGATTTGCAAATCACATTGATGGTGATGACTAAACTGATAATGACCTGCCTACAGTAGCGGCAAATCACATATTGACCTGTTTCAGATGCCTAGCTTAGAATCAAGTGGCTACATTTCACTCTTGCCTGATTTGCAAACCACATTGATGGTGATGACTAAACTGATAATGACCTGCCTACAATAGAGACAACTCACATATTGACCTGTTTCAGATGCCTAGCTTAGAATCAAGTGGCTATATTTCACTCTTGCCTGATGTGCAAATCACATTGATGGTGATGACTAAACTGATAATGGCCTGTCTACAATAGAGACAAATACCATATTGACCTGTTTCAGATGCCTTGTTTAGAACCAAATGGCTGCATTTCACTCTTGCCTGATTTGCAAATCACATTGATGGTGATGACTAAACTGATAATGACCTGTCTACAATAGAGGCAAATCACATATTGACCTGTTTCAGATGGCTAGTTTTGAACCAAGTGGCTACATTTCACTCTTGCCTGATGTGCAAATCACATTGATGGTGATGACTAAATTGATAATGACCTGCCTACAATAGAGGCAAATCACATATTGATCTGTTTCAGATGCCTAGCTTAGAACCAAGTGGCTACATTTCACTCTTACCTGATGTGCAAATCACATTGATGGTGATGACTAAACTGATAATGACCTGCCTACAATAGAGACAAATCACATATTGACCTACACTGTAATGAATACATGTAAAGGCTAAACAAATAACGACTTACACCTTCACCACCACCCACCCACCACAATGCCACTAAATAATGAAATAATACAATATAAAAACTGGACTTGTATCCTACCTGTTTTGGTACTAAATCTTGTATGTCTTTCTTATCACTCAGCTGCACTTGGATTTCAAGTCCTTCTAACTGTACCGCTCCACCAGACTCTCGTTTTGATTTCAAATGTCTTGCTATGCTCATCAGAGTACTAATACTAAAATTCAGTTCTCGTAACCTACAAATGCAATAAATAAACACTTATTACTGCATTATGTAACACCAGAGGTACATTACTTGGGGTTTGCAACGCGCATAGTACTGTATGGTGACATCATGCCAAGATCCCATTCAAGTCTCATCTCGTAGATATCGAGACTGGTGCTACAACCTTCTGACATGACATAGGCGGTTTGTAATAAAACAATAAAACATGTATTACCACATTCATAGTGAAAACATGTAATACATCGAAAATGTACAGAAAATATAGTTATTGTAATCCGTTATATCGTGAGCAGCTATTTTAATCCACCTGGACATCCCAGTATCCTAGTTACCTAGGGCATGCGCATTCGCCTTTTTCTGAGTTGGAACGCTTATGTGAGAGCGAGATTGTAACGGGATCTTGGTATAATGTCACTGTAGTTGCAAACCCCAAGTAATGTACCTCTGGTAACAAACATATTTTGACATTTAAAGATGTCCTTATATCAGACATACTCATAAACCTGCATAACATTTACAAGCATGTACAAATCTTGAGATGTGAAGTTAAATTCCAAATTTATAGAAATTTATAAAACATATACCCTGGAAGACGTTACCACTTCATTCAAATAAGAAGAAATATGCTTTCATTGGTTATAGAAGATATTTAGCAATGCA